GTAGTTTGAGGACGCCTGGCTTAAGCGATTCTCTTGCCTTAGCCTCCCAAGTAGCTGGTACTACAGGCACCTGCCAAGGCCCAGTTATTTTTTGGTTGCAGTTCTTATTGTTGTTTAGCTGGCCCAGGCTGTATTCGAACCCGCCAGCCTGTGTGTATGTGGCTGGCACCCTACCCACTGAGCTACAGTGCCACCTCAAAATTATTCTTCTAACCATTAAGTATAAATAGCAAAAAAGTAGAAATAACCTAAATGTTTATCAATAATAGTGATAGCTAATGTTTGAGTGTTCACTTTGTGTGAAATACTGTTCTGTGCACTTTACATGTCTTGTAAAATCTTTAAAACTCATGCCAGCTATGCCTTAACAAGTATTCTCAGCTGGGTGCAGGGGCTCACACCTGTAATCCTAGTACTCTGAGAGGATGAGGCAGGTGTATCCCCTGAGCTCAGGAGTTTGAGACCAGCCTGAAAAAGAGTGAGACCTTATCTCTACTAAAAATAGAAAAACTAGCTAGGTATAGTGGCAGGTGCTTGTAGTCTCAGCTATTTGAGAGGCTGAGGCAAGAGGATGGTTTGTGCCCAAAATTTTGAGGTTGCTGTTAGCTATGATGACGCCATGGCACTCTACCCAGGGTGGAAAAGTGAGACCCTATCCCCCCCCCAAAAAAATCTGATTAGAAACCGCAGGAGAACATAAACAATGTTAGATAATCAACTAAAATGATTTTAATAGTCCAGAATTCTGGAATCTGAGGTTGGAAGGGACAAGAATTGACTATATTGGAAGAGAAAGAGGGGGGAACCAACAATAGTACCTGTGTATATATAACTTTTTCAAATCACAGAGTATTTTTGTGTGCTTTCTGAGGAGATTTTAGAAAAATCAACACTTTGGATATTGCTGAGATTCCTTTTATTAGTTTATCACTCATATTCATAGCTCAGGAACACAGGTCAGTGACAAACTTCTATATAAATCAGCCCCAGCAGCACCAGTAGTTCAATGGGTAGGGCACCAGCCACATACACCGAGGCTGGCAGGTTTGAACGAAGCCTGGGCCAGCTAAAACAACAATGACAACTGCAACAAAAACAAAAATAGCTGGCTGTTGTGGCGGATGCCTGTAGTCCCAGCTACTTTTGGGAGGCTGAGGTAAGAGAATAGTTTAAGCCCAAGAGTTTTAGGTTGCTGTGAGCTGTGACGCCACCGCACTCTACCCAGGGCTACAGCCTAAGACTCTGTCTCAAAAAGAAATTAAAAAAAAAAAATCCCAAAGAAATTCTTTACATTCCACAATCACTTTGTGCTCTGAAAGATACCAGCCTTCTTCATCTTTTCAAAGTCTTTCATAGAGGCTCAGCACCCGTAGCTCAGTGAGTAGAGTGCTGGCCATGTACACCAAGGCTGGTGGGTCTGAGCCCAGCCTGGGCCTGCTAAACAACAATGACAACTGCAACAACAACAACAAAAATAATTGGGCGCCTGTAGTCTCAGCTACTTGGGAGGCTAAGGCAAGAGAATCCCTTAAGCCCAAGTTTGAGATTGCTGTGAGTTGTGACGTCACAGCCTTCTACCGAGGGTGACACAATGAGACTCTGTCTCAAAAAAAAAAAATCTTTCATAGAATCATAATTTCTGTAGAAATTTGCATATGCCTTCTTTCTTGGTACAGTCATAGCAAACTTATAGCTATAACCTCCAGTGATATAGCAAATGCTCCAACAATATGAATCTGCAGGTTGCTTGGCAAGACGTCATGCATCTGAGGTTTGGCCAAAGCACTAAAAGCCATGATAGTTATTGTCTTTAATGGGTATGCCAACCTCAACATGTCCTTCCCGGCAGAGGGATGAACTAACTGCCTGTTGCTGATATTTTAACCTGATTAAATTTCTTTCCTCATCCCCACCCCCAAACACTACCTGTTTGAAAGGAAGATGCTGGCTCGGCACCTATAGCTAAACCGGCTAAGGCGCCAGCCACGTACACCTAAGGTGGCGGGTTCGAATCCCCAGCCTGGACCCGCCAAAAACAACAATGACGGCTGCAACCAAAA